TAGGGTTTAGGGTTTAGGGTGACAATAGCCGTGAAACATCGCAGTAGGATAACATTTTGCCGAGGCGTGGTTCGATTGTAGCTACGGGGCGGCAATAATCGTAGTAGTAAGTTGATAATTATGGCAAAGCCGATGTTCGTGAGAACAAGATCTATACGACTGACGCTGACAATGAATGATAACAAAGACACAGACAGAAATGATCCCTCAACCCAAAATCCTAAAGCCCAAAATCNNAATCTACACCCTAAACTCTAAACCCTAAACCCTAAACCCTAAACCCTAAACCGTGGACCCGACCCTCTTCTCCCGCAGCCCGATCCTCTTCTCCCTAGTCCTTGCATCCTAAGCCCGCATCTGGCATTGAGGTGATCCTAGGTAGTATTAGGGAGACCCCTTGGGGTTTAGGGTTTAGGGTTTAGGGTTTAGCTTTAAGGGTACCCCTTCTGAACCCTACTTCTGGCTCTCTCACAAGGGACCTTATTGAGAGGGTCTATATCCCCAAGGGTCCCCCTACTCATCCTAATCCTAACTCCCAATTGAGGTGAACCGCATTCCGTCCACCTCCGTTGGAGATTGAGAGCAGGTTGGTGCTGCCAGTCAGTTTTGGGTTTCTGGGCTTTTGGGGTTTAGGGTTTCGGGTTTAGGGTTTTAGGGTTTCGGGTTCAGGGTTCGTGAAGAAAAGGGACTTGATTGAAGAATGAGACTTGGTTTTGGGGCTGGGAAACTCTTGGTATGATAAGGTATAAGTAGGTTTGTGATACAGGGGCTTGAAGAATTTGACTTGGGTCTGGGTGTATGTTGATACACGGTTTGTTTCTAGGGTCTAGGAGTTTAGGGTTTAGGGCAGCTTAGGGCTAGTATAACCAGGAACTTTAAAGGAGTAATATTTCTAGTTATTCAGGCTTTGAAATTACCAGTTGCTTGCGACAGCCTAGTTTTTGAGGCCACTACTCTATACCCTAGTCTAAGATTTATCGGGACCTTGCAAGAATCTGTTTTCTGCTTCGAGAAGCTAAACCCTGAACCCTGAAGCAGCAAAGCCTAAACGCAGAAAGCCCGAAGCTCTAATATAGAAGCGTAAATAATTACGGACATTATTCCGTATGGTTCCTTCTTGTAGCTACAGGATAAAGAGCCCAAAACCCTATCCTGATTACGAAGGCCGCTACATTGCCCTACATTACAGGCAACAACCCCCCAAACCCGAAACCCTGAAACCCTAACACCCTGAATCCTAAAGCCGTAAACCTTAAACACCCAGAAACCCTAACACCCTGAATCCTAAAACCCTACACCTTAAACGCCCTGAAACCTTAAACCCTAATGCCAAAACCTTATTACATCCTGAAGCCCTACACCTCAAACACCCTGAAAAACCCTGAACCCCAAATCCTAAAAGCCCTAAACCTTAAACCCTAAACCCTAAACCCTAAACCCTAAACCCTAATCCCTAAACCCTAAACCTTAAACCCTAAACCCCACAACCCCAAATCCTAAAGCCCTGGATCCTACCTAAACCTTAAGCCCTAAACCATAAACACGCTTTAGAGTTTAGGGTTTAGGGTTTAGGGTTTAGGGTTTAGGGTTTAGGGGGATCCTAAAACCCCAAATCGTAAACACCCTCAAACCCTACACCCTAAAACCCTTGGATCCCTTATAGATCCCTTCAAAGGAACCTCTAAAACCCTAAACCCTTAAACCATAAAGTTCCTAAAATCCTGAACCCGAAAAACTAAAGTTCCTAAAACCCTAAACCCTAAAGCCTGAAGTTCCTAAAACCTTAAACCTTAAACCCTAAAGCATGGAATTCCGGCAGACCCGGTCGAGAACGCGGATGTGCCTGGGTGTGTGCATAGAGGCAGGACCAAAAGTGAGGGCCTGGGAGTGGGAATTGGACAAAGGGACAGAAGTTCAGATCCACATCAAGGCCGAGCCCAGAACGTTCCCAGGACAGTGGTTCAGGAACAACGTCCCGGTCCACGAGAGCGAAGTGCCTGATGTACTCAAGGAACCGGCCTCCTCCACTACGACCCCACGAACGCCGAGCATGGCCCGCCGCTATTATGACATCACCAAGCCTGCTACGAGGGAACTGTTTGACCGATGGCAGCGTCGAGAAATCTCCCCACAACAAGTTGTTCAAGTAGGAGGCACAGGACTGCTGGCCTACTTTCACGAGCAGCTCACCGTGATGGAGCAAGAGACCACGAACGCGCAGATGGCGGACATCCCCGACGAGGTGCTACAGGACCTGCAGGGGAGAGACACACTCAACCTGCAACACCCCGATGACGACCACACAGAGCACGAGATGGACGTGACGGATGGCATGGAAGGCCCGCTCATGAGCCCCGGCACATGTGAGCCTCAGTCAACAGTGAGCGTTGCTGTAGCGGGAGGAAATAATGAAGTGGTCCCTGCATCTTCCAGTGCTGAGGGAGGGACCACACCAACACAAGCTGATGTAGAGTCGAACCTAGCAGAGCACCCGGATCCATACTTTAATGGCAGGCTGTGGTTTGAGAAATATGGGTAGAACATGGTGCTCTGGGGCCCGCAGCTGCTCTCGGTTTCTGTCCTGCTGAAAGACCAACCAAGCTCGGGGCACGGGATCTTGAACTATCTTAGGCTCATTGTAGTGAACTTCGTACTGCGCTGTTGTTGCAGCACAGCCGTGCGCCAGAGACTCGGACCGGGGCACGGAGAAACTACAGTGGTAGTTAGCTTCTCTAAATGGCTCTCCTAAATGGTGTTTGCTTTTTCCCACGTATAATCCGTGCCCTCACACCTTGAATCTTATCTACTGCCATGTACAGAACGGCGGTTGAACCAGCAATAGCTGATGCAAAGATGTGGGGAGGTGAGCTTTGGTTTCTCTAGTTGAATGATGTTCGGGTTGTAATCGTGGGCGTGTCACTTGGAACCTAATTCGAATTTTGGAAGGGTCGCTTTGATCCTGTTGTTGTTGGGGCCTCGCAGGGATGGGGCTGAATTCGGATTAAGCTTTCATTGCCAACTCAGAGGCCCCAATAACAGGCTCCTCCTGGTAAGGAATTCTAGACTGTTCTGCAGTTGGAAAAGGGCCCTTAAAAAAAAAAAACCCTAAAGTTCCTAAAGCCCTAAACCTTAAACCCTAAAGTTCCGAAAAGCTTAAACCTTAAACCCTAAAGTTCCTAAAACCCTAA